AAGTTCACAGGTTATGTAAAATAATTCAAAATACATAACAAATTTTCCAACTTAAAATTAGACGTAAATACATAACAATACACGTAATTTAGAAAAAAAAAAATGTTTTGCAAAATATGGAATAATGATAAAGGAAATGACCAAATGAATAAAGAATTAATCAATCAAGATAATTATGTTTTCCCTTTTTAGATTTTTATAAGGTGTTATTATCATGAGCCATAATTAAATAGGAATTGATAAGTATCAAGAATTTTCAATTTTTATTTGTAAATTTTAATTATAAAAGTTAGGGGCTGTTTGTTTACCTCTTAATGATACCATTAAGATGTAAAGGTCTGATTCGGTCAGACATTTTCTTGTTTGGATAGGTTTTTAAAAACGTCTGAATGGTAAGCTTATATCTGATTCGCTCCTTCACGGCCCCTCCCTCCATACCATTCAGATTTGATAATTTTCCAAGATTGCCCTCTCTATTTTCTCTAATCGTCGTCTCTAGGTCTGGCTCCATCGAGTTCTCCAAGCGACGCATCTGTTCTTCTAATCGCCTTCTTGTCGTTCACCATTCTCTTCTTGTTCATCGATCACCAGTGTCGCCCAATCGATTCACAGGTAACGATTTCATATTTCTAGGGCTTGAAACAACTTCGCTCCCTATCTTATGGTTCTGTATTATTTCGTATGTGGTTAACAAACAGCCCCTCGGTCTCACCCTTCTTATGTGGTTCTGTATTATATGCATTTTTGTTGTATTACACACAACTTATATGCATTTTTGTTGTATTACACACAACATATAGGAGCTTCAACTATTAGACAAAACAGGCTATGAGACCCACTTTCGAATTCCGACATAGGGCAGAGCCATGAAAGTAGACATAATAGGATTTAATATAAATCTTGGCTTAATATGAGAGCTAACATAACAATCATTTTACATCTAAAATCTCATATATACATGCACTGAATGTGAAACTTTTATAAAAAGAAAAAGATAATAACTAACAGAAATTAGTTTAGGACAATAGTAGCAATATTATAAAAAAAGATATCCAACCTAACTAAATGCTTACAAGCATGTTTGACTTGAGCACAATAAATCAATGATATGAGCACATAATAAGGAGAAACACAACAGTTAACTAGTGTTTTATGTATAACCAAGGCTAAAGAGTTTAGAAACAAATGACAATTTTGTATGCTAGTGTTGCCATATCCTTTTGTAACCTCACTATCTCAATAGTTAACTGGTTCTAACTTGGGCATGAAACTGCAAATAACCATGCCAATTAAATGGTATTCCTTTTCTTAATTCTTGGTCCTTTATCTTTCTTGATTATATATATTACATTATGTAACATATTGAAGATGTACGTTTTCTGGTTTATACATACGTATGCACATGTGTATATAGAACAAATTACTTGTATTGCATATGTGTATACTATACAAATGAATTGTTATTGGAGTGTATACCTTTTAGGCATATTATAAGATATCTTTTATATGTGGTCCTTTGTTAGGATTTCAGTCTTGATTTGTTATATGTCATCATTTGTAAGGTATGGACATAGTCAATGAGAGTTTACAACCAAAGAAACGTAGAATAAACTGGAAAAAAGAGTGTGGTGCGAACATTTCTTGAAGCATGTATACAAGAGGTCGTTGTACATGGACGAGAAGGCACCAATCTTAAGCCGCGTTCATGGAAGAATGTTGCGGAGACGCTTAAAAACAAACATAACTTTGTCGTAGAACAAAAACAAATAAAAACCATTATGATTATTTGAAAGCCAAATACAATGCATGGACGAGGCTGAAAAACAAAACAGGAAACGTGTATGACCCAACAACCAACATGTTTAATCTAACTGATGAAGAATGGCAGATAGAAATTGAGGTATTTTCATAATTTTATAATTTTATATTCTTTTTTATTTGGTATCTTTATAATTTATTTATATATATTTCTAAAACAGAGAAGCAAATATGTAGAACCAATCAGGAGTACAGGACTGCTTTTCCCCGATCTTTGTATTCAACTATTTGATGGAGTTCAAGTAACGGGAATTGAAAGTCATGGGCCACATTCTAGTATTCCTGACATTTCCGACCCACTTTCTGATCACTCGAGTGAAGATGTTGAGGTAGTTTATAATACTCAACAAATCCCGACCCCAACTTTAGGACAAGAGTGTGATTCTCGTCCAAGTACACAAGCAAGTAAAAAGCGAAAAGGTAAACAATCAAGTAACTCACAAGTTGAAGAAGATATCTCTAAGGCTGTGAAAGCAATTATGGAAAAATATACGAA